TAAAAAAAAAAAAAAAAAAAAAAAAAATACATCCAATTGCGGGCCGCCACGTGGCGTGGGGCCCGCGTAACAGTGTAGATACAGGTTCATGAGGAAGAGTTTTTCGGGTACAGGTTCATACAAAAAGCCTTTTTTTATTGTTTTTTGTTTTGGGGAATTGTGTGAGCCCCCCCTTTACATACTCTAATGGGGGTGCTCTTAGACACGGTTCTGATGCCAAAATACTATAGAAATGAAATGGGGTTGTCGTTTTTGTTCACTCATAGCTGGATCTTCTCCCAAGCTAGACCTCGTTTATAGTTCGTTGATCGGATCATTAACAAAAAAATTTTAGGACCCCATGTCACTAAAAAAAATGTTGAGGCCCCATATTACCTAATTTTTTTTTAACTCTATAATAATTAACTTTCAATATTTTTTGGATATTAATAAAATTATTTTTATATAAAATAACTCATATGTGTGTTTTTATTTGAGTTTTTAATTAAATTTTGTTTTTATATCTTATAATATTTTATAAATTAAAATTTAATAAAGTATATATCAATAAAAAAGTAAAAAAAAAAATAGAGTGAACCCCAGGGCGACTGAACAGACCACCCCCATACTAAACCAGCCCTGATTATAGGCTAAAAGGAAGAACAAGATTCGAGATTTCGGTGATAATACATATCATACATGTATATAGCTAGTGATTTATTTTCGTTCACTATTTGGCCCCTTCCACGGGATTACCTAAAGACTAATATTCTTTGTTAAATCTAACTCTTTTTTTTGACAAAGGATCCCCCTCTTAGAACATTACTCCCAATGGGAGTTCTATACTTGAGATTGTCAAAATATATACGTGTGTATATATATTAATATTAATATTTAATAATAAGATTCGAATTTTACAAGAAAAACAATTCAAAATATCTATGGTCAGATAATTTCTCGTAAAATTAAAAAATCTACAATTAAATATTTATATATATATATATTTAGAAGAGTAATTCTTGGGTTTACCTTTTTAGGTGAATCTTTCGGTTCACCAACTAATAGAATTACATTATTTTATATTTAGTATCTTTTAGAAAAAGGAAACAAAATATTGTCGAGTTATATAATGTTTTTAAAATTTAAAGATAAAAATAAATAAAAAATAACAATAGTTGTAATTTTTTTTAAAATATTATTATCAAAACACTAAACCATAAACCCTAAATCCTAAACTTTAAAACCCTTATGTAAACTCTAAACCCTTGGATAAATCTTTGATTTTTTAAAAAATATTTTTAATACCGTCAGCAAAACACTAAACCCTAAATCCTAAATCCTAAATCCTAAATCCTAAATCCTAAATCCTAATCCTAAACCCTTGGATAAACTCTAAACCTTTAGATCTATACTATTATTTGCGAAGTGATTTTTCGCAACGGAGCTCTCACGTTAAAAGTTGGAGTGGTTAATATCGTTTATACCTTTAAGGAATAAAATATATAAATCAGCTAAAACTGAAAACAAATTTAGTACTTATTTGATTAGATAAATGATTTAAATTAATAATAATGATAAGAATTATCCATAATCTAAATATATATTTAAAAATAAAATAAAATAAATAATTCTTATATATATTGTGTTGTTATCCGGAAAATATATTTTTGATAAAAAAATTCAAAAACAGAAAACACATAAATAAATATTTATAAAGTAAAATTTTTGATTGTATATAATTCAAAAGAGAAATTGAAAAAAGTAGAATGCGTAATTATTTTCAAATTAAAATAATATAATAATATAATATAATGATATATATTCGTGAATTTATTTTTCGCCTCTGAACTCACACGTTAAATTAAATTTATGTTTATATTTTATATAGTTAAACCTTAAACATGAATTAATCATATAAGATAAAAGATCATTCAAAAATAAAGAAAATACGTGTTTGAAAGATAGATTTCTATTTTTTTTATCAATTACGAAGAAATGAAATAGACTTTAGATTTTTCAAAATTTTACACGAAAACATAGATATGTTTTTAATTTGTGAATAACTTTATCAATGTAAAATTTTTTAATGTTTTAGATCGAATTATTTGGATGCAAATAATCATTTATTTTGATAATTTTTTAAATTAATTTAAATATACTTAAGCCCACATGTGCGGGCAAAACACCTAGTTAATCATAAATCTTAGGCTTTAAGATTAATCCAAGGCTTGAGGATTTACCCAAGGGTTTATAGTTTACGATTTAAGGTTTAGTGTTTTGTTGACGGTACTAAAAATTATTTTTTTAAAGCTTTTTGTTTGCACCTAATACTATTTTTATTTATTTTTATCTTTTAATTTTAAAAACATAATATACCTCGATAATATTTTTTTATTTTTTTAAATATACTGAATATAAAATAATGAATTCTTAATATTCACCCTAGAGGGTGAACCCAATAATTTTTATTTTGAAAATTTCAAATCTAGAATTCTCTATTGGAGGTGCTATTATACACTTATTTCTTTTTCCTACTCTTGCCATAGACCGCGGGACCTGCCCAACATTATCGCATGCCCTAATCGAGATTATAAATTGTGCTATTTAATTACACTCATAAATAATACTTAAAGTCTTAAACCCTTTAACAACAAGATTTTCTAAACATATCGTATGAAAAAGTGAAAGGCTCCTTTTAAAACATGATTCTCTTTAGAGAAAGTAAAATCGAATTTCTAGTAATCAAGGGAAAAAAGTTGAAAGTCGAGTTAGTATAAAATGGTCCTTCAGTGGTGCCAAAAAAAAACTATATGTATTATAGGTTTTTTATTTTGCTGCACATAGAAAGATAATAGGCTATCACTTAAAGGTGAACTGAAAATAAATAAAATATTAGACATGCAAACTTTAGTGCCCTAAGCCATTGTTTAGCTTGCTTATGCCATGGGTCGCCACTATATATCCAGGCGCAGCTAAATAAACGTGTACAACAGATGGCAAAAAAGACTTACAAAAATTAGGATCAGTTTTGCAAAATAGTTTTAACCTGAAACTGAAGTAGCACATATTACAAATTCAACTCAGCGACCTAATTTTAGTGGTTACAGAAAAAAATATATAGGAAAATGTATTCTTATAAATATGCGTATATTTACGTAATTGAGCTTACTCGATTTTTTTTTTTTTGACAAAGAACTTTTAGCGTACTCGATATTTAACAACAAAATAGATAAAAACTATACGGTAGTGAGAATTTACAAAAAAAAAAAAAAAAAAAACTTATACGGTAGTGTGATGTGAATTTTCGCACTGATCACAACAAAATAGATTCCTTGTTTATTCAGTGTTGGTCTGTGTTCCGGTGCCTTGTAGGTGAAGCTTTTCAATTGTAGAAGATTCTCTATTTCTTTTTGTTCATTCACCGAAGGTAACGGATCCTATATATAGAAGTACTCGTCTACGTGTATAATTCCTTCCTGATATCATCTCTTGTCTTGTCAATTCATCGATCTATCGTATCACTGTATCTCGATCCTCTGTTTTATATTATTCGTTTGCACAATAATAATAACAATATCAACTCAGTAGCATTTTAACAAATTTAAATGACGCATTAATCATATATAGTAGGATAAGACCTGCGCCTTGCGCAGTATGAATATATGTAATTAAAATATAAAATTTTAGTATTGACAAATTTAAAATTTACATATGATTGTTTTATTTTTATTTGAAATTTTAGAATTTTTAAATAGTTATCTATATGCAGGATCAGAAACAATTGTAATTGGAACTGTAGATCAAATTTTGGAATTTAATAGACCCGATTTCATATATTTTTCACTTTTCAGTGTTTGAGTGATGGAAAATAAACGAAGTGTCACTAGGCTTGATTGGTAGAGTATTAGCAAGTTTCCAAATGCTTTCTTAAGAA